GCACCGTGACATCCCTGCTGGAAGATGGCAGGAGGGAGGGGTTACTATATTTTGGCAAAAATGGCCGCTCTCAGACTCAGTAGTTGTGACGAAATTTTTTTTTTTTTTTTTTACTGTTTAACCTTAAATTCATTAAATCAATTTCAGGTATAAATAATGACCCATTAAATGTTCCTTGCTGACCGGATTTCTCCTTTAACCCTTTAAAGCCCGATCCAAGAATACAACAAAACAGAAAATTACTTTTTTTTGGTTTGAATTCCTTATTTGCTCTTATAACAAAATATGTAAAAAGAAAAAACAGAAATACATTTTTGATATTAATAATTTATTACTATGCGATAAGTCAAGATTATTTTTTGTGTAGTCTTCTACTGGCTGTTATCAGGTATATCTGATTGTGTACAATAGGATTTTGAGCAAAATTTTTACCATTAGTTTATGCAAAAGGTGTCAGAAGCAAAACATTTCAGAAACCGTATGTAATAAATACGATACATTTGGCATTACAGGGTTAAAAGCGGTTGTGGAATGGTATTTTTCTTTGACCTATTTGTGAGTGAGGTTAAAGTCTGTTTTTTCTCTTTTCCTCAATAAAAGTGATTACTTAGAAGCCTTGTTGAGATAAAAGGAAAGGAAGGAGGTTTGAAAGAGCTAAATGTGTGTGTGTAGTCCCCTTTTTATGTTTTATGTTGCAGCCTCAGAACATCACTGAGCTGCATTTAGGCTGGTCGTGATGTTCTCCTCTGCAGTAAAAAAAACCTTTTCTTCCTTGGATAAAAACTCTCAGTGCAAATATTATTTTTTACTCCACAGGGTGAATATTTAAATATAGGCCTACGGTGAAAGTCACAGTCAAAAAAGTTGTTCAGTCTGCCTTATTATTTTATCATTATTGTTCTTTCTATAAATAACTAGGCTCTGTCAGCTCTGAGGACCATTTTTACAAAGTCATCTTTGTAATGTACTTTTAATTATGTAAAACAATGATGTTATTTGTTTGTACTATAACTGTTAATATATGTATATATATAAAATTGCATGTCATTTTGTTTTTTGTCACATTTTAATATTTTAGATTACTGAACATGTTTAATCTCTGAGATAACCCGATTAAATAGACTTTTGTTTTCATTAAATTTGGTTATTTAAATAGTTTTCATTCACAGCAGGATTGTCAGTGAGTTCAAACCAATCATACGTAAAGGTTCCCAGTTAATAAAAGCATTCTAATTGTTATCAAGCAATGCAGTTAAGTTCAGCTCATTATTAGTCAAAATATGTAAACTACTGAAAAATGTATGTAATTATATCTTTAAAAAAAATAAAAGGTTCAAGTTGTTATTTTGACTATTTATGAAGCAATCATGGGCCGGTATTGCCAATTTCGATATCAATATTAATACTTTTTTAATGTCAAAGTATGATATTAAACTTCTGACTTTTTAAGTATACTATTGGCTTTAACATTTTTCAGAATTTTGAACATTTTGATTTTTATATGAAAAACAAAAACAATAGATGAACAAACATTTGCATGTTTTCTCAGCTGCTGTTGCATTTTTGACGAAACAGCAGTGGTGCATTAAAAAGTGAATCTAAAACTAAAGTATGAATCTCATCATGATGGAATCACCTGATACAGATAACTTCAATTCAATTCAGTTTATTTATATAGCGCCAAATTCACAACACATGTCATCTCAAGGCACTTTACAGTTCAACCAGATCATACAATCAAATTGATACAAAGTTTTTTATCTAAGGAAAACCAGTTGATTGCATCGACTCATTGACTCAAATACAATCCCTCACACTAAGCATGCTTGTAGCGACAGTGGAGAGGAAAAACTCCCTTTGAACAGGAAGAAACCTCCAGCAGAACCAGGCTCAGTGTGAGCGGCCATCTGCCGAGGCCGACTGGGGTTCAGCAGATGGCCGCTCACATATCGATACTTGGTATCGATATATTATAGATGGGAAATATCCCCCTCCAGAAAAGTGCCATGAATTTCACATGTGAAATTAACCTGTGTACACATGGGATTCCTGGGTAAAAGTAAATGTATTCAGTGGATTTGGAACATTTTTAGTTATGAATCCAGATTAACTGACTGTAATCTGCCAAGAATGGCATAATTCATCAGTAACTAGTACAAATGTTTACCTTCTATCTCTTCCCTGGATGATATTATGAACATTTACCTTCGTGTGAATTGAGACCATTATTTAACCAAGAGAGTTCTACACATTATACAATATGCTGTTTATTTTTATTTTGTTTTAATACATTCCAGTATGTAGTTCAACCTTGGAGGGTTCACAGTAAGACATCTGTTAATCACTTGGAGGCTGTGATGAAGAAGAAAGCAAAAAAGCTGCCAGGAAAATAATCCAGTGAGGGCTTCAAAAAGGCTGGATTAGCAGTCGAGCAAATCTGCCTTCTGTGCAAAGACACCAAAATATCAGGCAAACACGAAATCTCATCTGCGTTTACAGTTTCAGTTGCTGCTTCCATTTAGAAATGATACTTTCAAATATTTTAGAAGCTTAACTAACGCTCTTGTGAGTTTAATCATATTTATCTTATTCTTTCATGATAATAGTGCA